CTTAGGGACAGGCCCAAGCATATTATACTCCACAACCGACCTACATGCCTCCGGGTGGAAAACAAAAAACCCCATAACGGGTGCACGAGGCTGATGAAACCTTTCTGCCGTCATGCCCTCACCTTCTTTGCGTGTACATCACAGGCCAAGCGCGCTTGCAGATGAGTGGTATTCCAGGGCCTCAATGAAGCATCCTCACCCCAACCGCATGCCGTCAATGTAGTGAACAAGCGTAGACAATGCGCAGCTAGACTTGCCCTGGAAGGTGTAACGAATGTTTCTGGATGCAACACATATGCGCGCCTCCTATCAAGCAACCAATTATTGGAATGAGAAGACGCACCACCTAGTTCAAACATGCCATGAACCAAAACATAACCCATCATGTGTTTAGAAGCACGGCATTTTTACCATACACGCTTCTGGCAGCCAACCAAGTGGTCGTAGCATATTCATTGCGTTCAATGTGCGACAACCTACCACTCTGCCTCCCACAGGCTCGCATTATCTTCAACCTCTAGCCCTCTGTTGCGGTCTATGAGACATCGTATTGCCTAACGCCTAACAAAGGGCAACAAAGTGCCTGAAGATCAAGCTCACTCTCTTGCGTACACCACGTCCTCGTGATAAAAGATCAAGCGTGACGCGCGCTCGTCTCCACCTAATTGCGGCTCGACCTAATTTGTGAAGCAGTATACGAGAGCAAAATCCAACCGGAAAACTTCTCCCTGCTAAAATTAATCCCCGTCGGCTGTAGAGGCACTGTCAGTTTCCCTCCAAATGTCCAGGACAACGCAGATGCCAAAGATATGGCGACATTCTCATTTCCAGCTGCATATAATATAAAACCCCTGCTGCGCGTCAAAGCATCATGCGTACAGACTATTGCATGACACGCCCACAAAATAAAAATATAGATGCATGCTGTTGGACTGTCACCCACACCAGTGCGGCATAAAACTGTTCGCGCAGAACGCCCGACGCCCAAGCATTTCCTGAGCCTGCCGACATAGCCGCAACACGATGTTCTGCAAAAGCTTTCTCCACGTGCGGTTACTGATTTATATGCATGCTGCATACAGCATAAGAATATTTACACGCACAAAGGCAAGCTCCAGGGTCCACAAACCTGCAAAACCCTGCCCCTACGAATGCTCCGGATGTTCAACGCACTGCCTGGTGCGCAATGCATACAACCCATTATGACTCTTGATGGTTCTTCGTGAATCAAACAGCTGTAGGCTGCCAGGAGTCAGCAATCGTATCAAAGCTTCCACACGTTAGGAGACGTCTTGCAGCCAGCGCCGGCCTGCGCTCCTGCTAAGGTAAGGCTTCCATGCAAAATGTCATTAACTATCAAACAATCTCAAGGGCCTTCGATCATTGTGTATTCTACCCGAAACTGATATTCTCCAAGCTACAATCAAGCTGTTGTTCGTCAAGGTTGCCTAAAGCTAGCCCGTACTTTCTGATGAACGGAACTCCCCTACCACCCGTTCTGCACTTGTCTTCCTGCGACACCGCCGTTGCTAGTTCTCAGTTCATCCACGCAGCTGTGCACGCGGTCATGCGCAAAGCACCACATTAGGAGAATGAAACAAGGCGGCAAATAACTTTCCTAGAGACACACAAGGTTGCCACCCCCAGGTGGCTTAACGTAACTTTGTGCCTACAACGAAACCCAACACTTTCACTCTCGTTGTACACCTGCAGCAGCTGACGGATATGGACGAGGCGTACTTTCTGTTGCGTTGGCTTCTCATCTAACCACAGTCCACAGATACGTTCCAGCTATTCTCATTACGGCTGCGGAGTACACAAAACATAAAACAACAGAAACAGTAGCGAAACTTCAGTTTCATATAACTAGACCGCTGTAGCAGTTGCCGCGAGAATCCCGTACTTTCCTGCTATTTGATGTTTTTCAGGACCAGCACGCTGGATGGTTCCCAAAAGGCGAAGAGAGAAATTCAACCTCTCCAAGGCGGTTTGCATTGGCCTTCTATCGGTCATGTAATCTAGAGATCAAACCTCCCGCCTGGCTCATGATTCCAGCAATGCCAATACGCACGTGGTCTCACCCGTCAGCTACGATCAAATAGAAAACGCACAATCTTTTGATGATATACAGTGGCATTGAACAGCGGTGTCAACAGCCGACAATCTTCGCAGTTGCGCGGCACATCGCGGTGCGCTGCCATCCTCCTTGCTAATGCTCCCCTGCCCTTAGCACTTTCCCGAACCCGTACAAGAAACGTTATGCTTCTTCGTTGCGTCTGAGAAACAGCTAATGAAGGTCGTCTAGAAATCGGACCTACTTGCTTAGGGGCCAGACCACCACCCGAATATATGGCACCACCTCATTATTCTGCCACCTGTTTATTCCTTATTTGCAACTAAACTGTCGAGCACCAAACGCAACTGCGAGCAGACGTCCTCAAATGACGGCAAGCCTAACGGGTGCCCCCCAAGTAGGTCAGAATACGCCCACTTGCCTTGCCAGATGATTGACAAATTGTAGCGTTCCCTGCGGATACGGAGAACGTGAACCACGCACCGACGGAGTCAACGGCGTCGACACCTAGCGCACCTCCTGATGCATTATATTCATTCCATCCAAATGCAGCACAGCACCTCAAGCTCTAGACACGCTGCATTTGCCTACTAAGTGCAGCCGCGTAAACGTAGGTCCAGTTGCGACAAGACAGCGCCAACGAACGAGGAATTTAGAGGGTGTCTAGAGTATATGCAAATGCGTTCTTCCTCCTATCCTTCAGGATTTAACATTCTAAAAGCCCGATGCGATGCTCGTTGCCGCCGGAAGCACGCTGAACTCCGAAGCGCGTTCGTCGCTGAGTGACCAAACGCACTGCCTGATACACCGAATTCTCTTCCAGCCAACTTGCAGGCGTACGCCAAACCAAAATGTACTCCCTTACCTCCCTAAAGCAAGTTAATACTCATTGGGAACGAAGTGGAACGCATGCTCCGATCCACAAACCAGCAGCTAGAACACCGGAAAGATGGAACAAAATATCCATCTCTGCGTCTCCCTACCATGCTTCCATTAGTCGATTATTCTCGTCTCTGCCTTTTGAAGCCTGTAGAGCTGACATCTCAAGTTTTACCGCCGAGAAAGTGTTGACAAAATTAAGACCGAACGCACTGCCTGTTGCCACGCACTACCGAACCCTAGCAGGGTTCTGCCAACTGTCGTGCGTTAGCGAGTCTTTATTCATCGGCAGCACGCTGGAAATTCGCGACGAGACGGCGCATCAATTGGAGAAACCAGAAAACTTAACCGACAGTCGCGAGTCGAAGCGTCAAACGTACTTCCTGATATAAAGAGGAGGCAACATTCGCTTTAGACCACCGGGCCTCTAGTTGCTCCATGCGCCTTAACGTTCTGTCTGCCGGCTTTTCGAGCCTGTTTTCATTTCATCTTACTAGGTAAGCGACCGAACATACAGTCTGGCGCATTGCCATCCTGGATTGTGTTGCGTAGCGCCCTGCTAGAACCATCAAATCTTTCATTGCTTCGCATTTGCACACCCGTACGGGCAACAACGCACTAGAAATTCAGGAGCTGCAGTACCCTTAC